TTTTGTATCCAATGTATCATGTAAATTTTATACAACATCCATCTCCTCTTAACAACCGCCACCGCCATCTTCGCTTCCTTTCTCGCAGAGTTGCAGTTTGTACTTCTCAAAGATTTCTGGATAGGATTGAAATATAGTTAAACTAAAAAAATTAAAATTTTTTGTATGATTCAATGACTTGAGTTGTAGCTTGTCAATTTAAAAAGTTGTACCTTGATCAAACAACTCTCATGCACTAAACAACACTTCGTGCTTCAGTGGTTTCTTTCTTCGTATTTTGTATCTTAGTCGGGGGCCTCTTGGAAACACCCTCCCCACATGCTACTTTTGTGGGATTCTACTGGGTTTGTTGTTGTTGTTGCACTAAACACTTGCCTGACAGTATTCGCATTTGACTCCCAAGTTTTTTGCCACCCCCCCTTTTGTCTCTCTTTATATAGGAAGTGGATGAAGGTGGTGGAGCATTTGTGTATGTCCCTACTTCCAATGGAACTGGATTGGCAGACCCTGGAAGAGCTGTTGCTTCTGAAGCTTTTGAGTTTCCTTACTCTTCTAGAGATGATGATGATGATGTCACACCAGCGACATCTTGGAAGAAAAATGTTTCATCCATCGATGATGAGAAGAATGAATTGGAAGCCACAGTTGATGGAAAGTGTGAAGCCATTGAAAAGGAGAGGACTTCGGATCATCCATCATCTACTCTACCCAGAGACACCAAGTGCTTTTTTACCGATTCTGTCCCATCGGCTGCTTCTAACAACACGGTGTCAGATAAAGCAGAGCCACGGTGCGCCACAGCTGATGCTCCATCTCATGTTCAAAATGGTGCAGGGAATTCATTGACCGAGAACTCATTGGAGTTGACTCGGGTTAGCTTTGTATGTGATGATGCAGAGCAACCACCTGCAAAAAGGATTCGGCAAATGAGTCCTGAAGAGAGGGAAGTTGAGCTAAAAGCCCTCCCAGAAGATCTGCATCTTTGATGATGAAAGCAATGTATAACCGGGGGGGAGGGGGGGGTGGGGGATTCTGTACTTTTCTTTGTCTATTTGAAATATTTAGCGCCCAGCGGTTTGCTGTTTTTGTGTTCTATTCAGTCATTTTGTTGACGGTTGAAATGCATACAAAAGAAACTCTATAGAACTTCAGCTTAGTATTAGTACATTGTTGTAGAGATTATATATGGACCGACATTAATGCTTAGGTATGCATTGGTCTAAAAAAGACTCACCGTTGAAGAGGGCCATTCTCGACAAGAGTGTGTATGTATGTATGTATGTATATATATGTGTGTGTGTGTGTGTGTGTGTGTGTGTGTGTGTGTATTCTCGGTAGCATTCACCAAAGTCGGTGTGGTAACGTCGGGGAACGCTTACCAAAGCCTGTATCTTTGTACATTGTAATATACAATGATCCATAGTGGCTTCCTCCTTACAGAAAGGGCATTGAGATGGGAGGCTTGTCCTAAATCTGCTCATATTGTCTGGGAATGGGAGTATATTGTTGTTAGTTCTCAATAGGAACATTTATATATTTTGGGAGTTGTAGTTTGTCCCAGTTGAAAGAGTCACTCAACTGCATATTGGCTTGAATCCTACAGTGATCATAGACCTGTTTAATAGTTATAGGAATTGCTTCCATCTCATCTTCTTCATTCCCCTTATCCGGGGTGATATCTCCCAAGAATTCTTCCGCCTTTGAGTGGATTCTACATACTCTTTTCCTAATAAGGAGAGTCTGTGAGTTTTTCCTCAAAGCTTTGGGTGCTATACTTTTCTCTCATGAATTGGGCCCACTTGTTGTTCTGGAATCCCTATTCCCAAGGCCTATGGATGGTAGCACCTTTATAACCCTTATCCCCCCCAAGCATGAGAGGCTTATTACAGTCTTTGGAGACTACAGACCAATTTCTTTGTCAACATTTATGAGTAGAATTAACACATGAATTCTTGCATATAGAATTCAAGACCTCCTTCCTAAGATTATTATATCTTCTGAGCAAACAGGTTTTCAAAAAGGAATAGGGGTAGAGGAACATATTCTACTGGTAGAGGAACTGATCCACAAAATTATTGACTGACTCCTAGGTCAGAGGGGGGAACCTCATTGTTAAGATGGACATGGCTAAAGCCTTTGACAATCTTGAGTGGCCTTATCCACATAAGGTGCTTAGCAAGTTGGGTGCTAAGCAACTCCCAAAGGTTATGGTCTGACATTCATTTCACTTTAATTAAATAAAATTTGATACATCAAAATTACATCTTAAAATGAATTAATTATACCAAATTTAATTTATGATTAATGTATTTTTCTAATAGTTTATGGTTAAAGTTAGTATAAAAGTCAAATTAGGATAAATAATTTGGGACGAAGGGAGCGATAGTAGCAATTTTAGTGCAAGAAAGAGGTGAGATTAATTAAAATATTTTATGTGGAATGTACAATGAACCACCGGCTGGCGGTTGCGTCACTTTTAATAACTTAATGAAGCAATTGTATTTTAGCTCTAAAAGCACTCACATTAAGAGGGTGTTTGGCGCTGCGCTGCTTTTAATAATTTAGCTTCTGCTTTGAGTGGAAGTGATTTTATTCTGTCTGGCATGTCAGCAGCTTCTGCTTTTCACCACTACTATTTTATACACAGAACACCGTTTTGGAGAAGCAGGTATGAGGTGCTTTTGCTTTCAGCTTTTGTAGAAATCACTTTATCAAGAAGTTAATCACTCCCAAACAAGCTCTAAAGATGCTCTAAGACCATCTAAAATGTTGATGTTTCCATAGAAGAAGATAATTGTTTTTCGAAATCTATGGAGTCTATTGACATGAAAAGCTTTCAAACATCAAATGCTTGGAGAAGTATTCATTGTTTACCTTGAAATGGTGTATAGTTGACAATAAAAAATAATAGGTTTTTTCGAAGTAAATCCTTTTGAAGAAGAATTATAGATAAATCACTTTGAGATTATAAAAAAATTATGTTTATATTCAAAGAATTTTCTTAAAAAGAAAAAGGCTACTCCCTCCGTTCCAATTTTTATTGCCTATTTCGGTTTGTGATGTTTGACTAAAATTATTTTCAAATCATTTTGTATGAAAACTGGTTTAAAATAAAAAACTAAAAATAACATGTTAAAATATTTCATCAAAAGATTTACAAAACTAGTAGTGACATGGCTATATTATTCTATCAAATGACTAACAAATATATAGAAAGAAAGTGAATAAAGTTTAACCATGTGAATAGTAAATATACAATTTAATTTTGGACGAAGAGAGTAAAAACTAAGGGAAGCATCCCACAAATGGAGATGTCTAAGAAGCTTAATTTATAAAAATAATACTCTATTTTCTTCGTCCTTAAAAGACTTTTGCTTAACTTTTTGGCCTAAAGTTTACCAACTTTAACTATAAATTGAGAGAAAAAATGTAGAGTATATTTAAGTACTACTCCCTCCGTTCTTAAAAACACTTCCTCTTTCATTTTTTTTCACTTCCAACAAAACACTTCCACTTTCTATTAAAAAACCACTTTTACCCTTACCTTTTCATACCCTACCTATCACATCATACTTTGTCTCTAATAATCTATCCATCACATCTTACTTTATCCATCACATCAAGGGCAAAATTGGAAGTCAACTACAATTTAACACTTCCTTATTTTTCCAATTTTTCAAAGTAGGAACTCTTTTTGAGAACGGAAGGAGTAACATGAATACAAAGGCTCCGTTTGGTACAAAGAATTCAAGTCATAGAATTGGAATTGGGGACTTTAATCCCAATTCTGTTGTTTCATAGCACAAAAATATAGGAATTTGAAATTGGTAATGCAAAAATATGAATCAGAATTGGAGAACTCAATTCCATCCAATTCAATCTCATATAATTTCAATTTCAGTTCAATTTTAATTCTATCAATTCAATTTACCAAATAGACCTAAAGTGTATTTGGAGCCACTATTGGTAGAGGCTTTAGCATGCGAGTAGGAAGTATTTTCTAATTGTCTTCGTGTTGTGAATTGTATTCATTTTGATGAGTGGTCTTATTGTAAATCATATTTTGCGTAAGTAATCGAGGAATGCAAAATTTTCATGTATGGAGTTTGATTTTGTTACTATTGTTTATGTTTCTCGCTTTGCTAATACCCTTGCTAGACGAATTAATTGTATTGTTGGTTCTTTGATTCATTCTCTCCTGATTTTGTTGTTGCTCATTTGAACTAAAGCTATATGAGCTTTTATCTTCAAAAAAACATGAATACTTTCTCCGTTCCAAATTAATATTCTTATTTTTTTTGTTGGATTGTTCTAAAATAAGCTTTTTATTTTTTTAAAGAAATTGAATAACTACGAAGTAGTTCGTATTGATCCCTTTTATTCATGCTAGAGGTATCCCATGAAATGTATTCCAAAGTATACATCAAAGCTATGCATTAACATTTTGGTGATTCACACTGACATAATATGCTAGTGTGATTAAAAAATTGGGGAAGGTTCAAGCGACATTGAACCTTGATGTCATTGGATGACCCGGGGGCGCTCCGCTGCCCCGTTCGTAAAATGACGGTTCCTACCCCGGTAAACCCCCCCACCCGGCCCCGACCCGAACACACCCCCCACCCCCTTCAATTGCACCCACAAGTTGATTTTGACTTTGAAGTCAAAATTTGACTCCAAAGTCAAAATCAACTTGTGGGGTGCAATTGAAGGGGGTGGGGGCGTGTTCGGGTCGGGGCCGGGTAGGGGGGTTTACCGGGGGTTAGGAGGAGTAGGAACCGTCAATAAACGGGACACCGGAACGCCCTCGAGTCATCCCATAACATCAAGTTTCAATGTCACTTGAACCTCTTCGTGTAAAATTTTTTACAAATTGAAGTATAACTTTTGGGGCAGAAATAGCTTAATTGAACCATAGAGTACTTCACATTCTTGTGGTAGTCTGGTACATCAAGTGGGCACTGGCCCTAGATTAGTTGATACAGTGCCGTCTGCAAACTGTGTATGACTTCCATTACCTTTCTTCTTCATCTTCTTCTGGCATTTCATGAAAACCAAGTGACACAAATGTCCTCCTCCCCTGACTACGAGGTTCACCTACACCGTCCATCTCTTCTTCTTCCCCTCCCATTTGATCATCGTTTAATCTCCCAAAAGAAAATTATATAATCCTAAATTGTTAGGTAAAATCTTCGGTCCTCTTTTGATTTCTTCATTATTATGGACTGTTGCGAAAAGTCATCCATGGCTGAGACGCCGGAGATCGCCTATGCTCTCCTGTTCAAGGCTGCCGTGGCTATTCCGGCACTGCACTACTTGTTGGGACTAGCAATAGTATGTGCGATTTCGTTGTACAGATTTTTGGAGCTCCATTTGCTTCACGATCTCCTCTTCGGATTCCGTGGAGATCCCGTTTCGCTAACCTACAACCCCTGCTCTGAAATTTATCACGGAGTTGTCTCTAAATGTCGTGTTATTCATAGCAGGTGAACTTCTTCATCTTCTCAATCGAATTAATCATTACTGCATGATAAAAATGGCCGTGATAGACGAGATTACACATAAATCACCCCCTTGTTTCCTTTTAGATGAAGAATTGATTTGTTGATTCTGCAACAATTTTCTGCATTTATGGAGTTGTTTTACTGGATTATTTTCGCTGAGCAGGTATCTGACAACACCTTGGCTCTCTAGCCCACACCTCCAGACGTCCTTCATAAATTTCTTTGGGCGACCTCCTGTTTTTACATACAGAAGGTAGTTTTTCATTTGAAATGTACTATCTCAACTTAGCCAAGGTATAATTTCATTTTTCTATCTTCCGCATGGTGTATTCATTTTTCTTCTTGAACATTTAGGCTATATTCGGAGCCAGGAAAATGGTAAGATTGCAAACAAAATGCCAATTTTTTTTAAATGTTTGGCTTTACTTGGGAAAATGTTAAACAGAATCCAATCTGATGAATGCCTTTTAAGATCCTACATAAACTTAGATTATAAATACATAAAAAAATAATTCAAACAAATAGTTTGAATTCTTTCATTGACTTTGAATCCACCCCACCCGTAAACAAAAAGAAAAAAAAAAGAAAAACTTTCCTTCCAAAATATCCCTCTTTGCTCCATATTTTCTTTCCTTGGTATTTTCAGGTTCCAAACCAGCCCTTAGTATGTATTTGCTCTTCAGTATATTGTGCTTTGGTTGCATCTGACCATTTCCATCATGAGTTCTTTCAGACAAATATTTAATGCATCTGATGGCGGGACTTTTGCTTTGGATTGGGTCTTGAAATCAGATGGTAATTTACTTCCTTTTACGCTTTCCCTATCCTGCTGAATTGGTGGTGTTTTCTTCATGTTTGTCTTTTGAACTGATTGGTTGAATTTGAGCCAGAGCAAAAATTTTACCATTCCAATTCATTGATATCATTAGGGAAAGCCTGTGCTTTAATCTTTTTAGAGATTTTTAGCTGCTAATTACATGATTAAAATTTATTTTAAGCATGAAAGTTTCTATTACAATCTTTGGTAGCTGGAAATTAAACAGTCAGTGGCATATTTCTCAGATGCATTAAAGGCTGCAATGACTATTAATTAGGGATCAACTTATTTCCTGTATCCTAAGTTGAAAATAACATCAGGTGAATTGTTGAACTAATTGTATTTTGTTTTCCACTTACAAGTTACCGACATGCTCCTCTTACAGTTTCTGGAACTGCTACTGACAAGAACATTACCATATCTAAGGATGATACGACTCCCATCGTGGTAGTGATACCAGGATTAACTAGTGATTCTGCTTCCCCCGTAAGTTTTAAGATACTTTTGAACCATATCTGCACTTGAAATCAGTGATCGTTGCATCTATCAGCTAGATTTTCATCTTTTATTATTTTTTCAGAATTGCAAATTATGAAAATTGTGGTGCGTGTGATGTTTCATAATAATATATAATATACAGAGTAGTTGCCGTTATGTATCTTTCAGATAAGTGAGATAACTCTCTAATTTGTAAATTTGTTTTACAATGGTGCATTGCAGTACCTAAAGCATCTTGCCTTTAACACTGCTAAATGTGGATGGAATGTTGTTGTCAGCAATCATCGAGGATTAGGCGGTGTATCAGTCACTGTTAGTTCCCTTTTCCCACTGAATCTTTCTTTTCTCCCATGTGAGAAGTCAATTAATTTGCACTATATATTTTAAGGCCACAGACCTCAACTAGTTGGGATTTAAGTGCTGATAATGATGGTGAGTGAATGGAATAAGCATTATAAGTTAAAAGATTCATATATAATTTGATGCAGTATGAATATCAATTGACTTAATTTGGAATTTTGAGATGGCAAGGTCGTAAAAATATTAAATTATTTGCATATAAAAGAATAACACTTGAACATAAAGAAACAGAACATACTATGCATTGATGAGTGAAGGTTGACTGATTTCATAAAGGTGATCTCTTTGAAGCAATCTAATGCATATAAGGACAGAAGCACCATCTTACTGTTTTATTTTCCACTTATTTTTTTTGTAATTGTAGCGGCTAAGCATAGCCATAGCCTAGATATCTATGGAGTTACATTAATTTGCACGGCATCCTTTGCATTTGGTGGAGCTGATATACATCTGTCTAATAGTAATATACCCCAAAGAAAACTCTAGTGTTTGGCATATTTGTGTCAATTGTGTGTGTGTGCGCGTGTGCAAGGAATGAAGTTAATTGATATATTCATATATCCCAGTTACTTAAATAGTCAAAGTAATGGACAATAATGAGATCTAATTTCCAAATAGATTCTGTTTTTACCTTATTCATAGTAATAAATTGGATTGACATGCATCTTTTTAATCTATGAATGCAGTCCGATGCTCTTTATAATGCGGGATGGACAGAAGACATACGAAATGTCATCAAGTATCTGCATAAGGAGTATCCAAAAGTTCCAATATTTGTTATTGGTACCAGTATTGGTGCTAATATTCTGGTACTCCCTCCGTCCCACAAAAAAGTTCCCATTTTGAACAGTATTTAGTCAAATATTTACACGCTTTGACTACAAATTGTGAGAAAGGTATATTGAATTATAAAAAAAATTTAATATAATTGGATTCATCTTAGGATCTAGTTTTGATATCTCAATTTTTTTTAGCATTTCTTTATTTAGATTATATTTAATTCATGGTCAAAGCATGTAACTGTTTGACCAATTTATGGTCAAAATAGGAACATTTTTGTGGGACGGAGGGAGTATTTGTTATACTTTGTTTTGAGAAAGATTTTTGCTCAGTTGGGTTTTGAGATTTGTCATGCATTTGTGATTTAGCATGGTTTGAAACTCAATGGTATAGTATATTAGAGATGATATATTCACATTTGATCATGCCATTAGCAATGATGTGTCTATTCTTGCTGCATTAATTCTTTGATATTAGGTGAAATATCTTGGTGAAGATGGAGATAATGTTCCTGTTGCAGGGGCTGTAGCGGTGTGCTCTCCTTGGGATCTCTTGGTACATCTCTTGCTAATTAAATATATTTGGTTTATCATTCAACTATTGAATTTTGAATTATATGGTCTTGACTCTTGAGATATTAATTTTGGCATTTCACTGATAGTCGGCATATAAATCAATTTTGTCCCTGAAATTTCTCTTAGCTCAGTGACAAAATCCATGCAACTTGCATCTCTAGGATAAGACAATAATATTCTATGGAGTAACATTGTGTTTTTTCAATGCAGATTGGTTCAAGGTTTATATCTCGCAGGCTGGTGCAAAGGTTTTATGATAGGGCTCTTACTATTGGTCTTCAAGGTTATGCATACATGTAAGTTTGGATTTCTTCTTTTTTCCTTTAAACAACTTTACACATTTTCTTGAAATAGTGGTTTTCTCACCTGCAATGGCCAATGTACTGAAATAATTAATGATGGGATACATTTTGAAGTTATTGGTACCAGATCTCGATAAACAGAAAACAGAAATCTAGAACAAGAACTTATTGGAAATCCTTCTCCAATTAATTGAAAAACTTTGAATACATAAAATACAGAGAAACTATCCCTATTTATAGATGAGTTAACCTTGTCCACCAAGTTAAATCATCAGCCTTGCTCTCCAAGCATAACATCTCTTACTCCTACAAGCTATGATAATCTCAAATCCATCTGAGATATATCTCCTAAAATTATGACTGACTCTACCCTAATTATTAACAAATAAAGACTTCAACATAATTACAAAATAAACCCCCTAACTATTACTGAATGTCAAGATTGGTCCAACAATCACCCTCCCAATCTTGACCTTGAGTCTTCTTTTACTTCTTTGAGTCCTTCGAGTCTTCAATCCTTTCTACCCCAAGAATCTTTCTCATTTCAGCAAACTTCAGCTTTGGCAGTGCTTTTGTAAGAATATCAGCCCGTTGTTGATCTCCGCTGATGTGCTCAACTTTAATCTGCTCCTTTTCAACACACTCTCGTATGTAATGATACTGCGTGTTGATATGCTTGCTTCTTCCATGAAATACTGGATTTTTCATCAAGGATATTGCTGATTTGTTATCTACTTTGATCACCACTTGTTCTTCTTTTCTTCCAGTTATTTCAGCTAACAATCCCCTTAACCATATTGCTTGACAGGCTGCTGAAGTGGCAGCCATAAATTCTGCTTCACAAGAT